TAGCTGATGTAATAAGAAGTAACTTAGGCTACTTTTATGTTAGAAAAAATCTTTTATTTTAGAAAAAAACTAAAAGTTATCGCGGACGAAGTCGCGGGCGGCAGCTAGTAGATAGATAAAGTTAATAATAATAATAATAATAATAACTGTTTTATTGCCTCCAAATTATGAAACACTTATTAAAACCTTAAAACGTACTACCTAAAGGATAAACAAATTACAAGTATGTATCTTAATATAACATTAAGTGGAGGCAAGAGGACGAGGCTCAGCGTAAGCGGAGCCAAGGTATGCCCTGGTCCGTGCTGGTTTTCAGCCCCAACCTTTTCCCTGCGATGTTATGCGGGTCACAGCCAGTAATAAAGAACTGCTAAAATATTACACAAAAAAACTTGCATTCTTACAAACTAAATAGAGAGGGTACTGCTCTTATATCTTTATGTGAAATGTGGGTCTTGGAGTGTACTGTTTGTTTGTGTCTGTGTGTGTGTGTGTGTGTGCGGGTGTGGTAAATAATTGTATATTGTGTAGGTACATGCGTCAAATTGATAGAAAATTTCAGAAACTAAGAAGGTTAGACATGGTGGAAAAACCGAATCAAAGGCAAATCTTTCCAGTGTGCGTGTCTCAAGTCCTCCGCTGCAAGTTGTTTTTGCAATAACGCCTTTTTATACTTAGCTTTAAAATTCTGACCACTGGTTTTTATTCTTAGAGGCGGTGGAAGATCGTTCCAAATCTTTGCCGCGGAATACTTGAAACACCCCTTATAGCGAATAGATTTATGTTTACGAACTCTGAGAAGACTTTGTGCTGCAGAACGAAGCGGTTTGAGGGCCCATTCAGTTCGCCAAGAAAGTTTTTCATATAGGTATTCAGGCTTTTTATTCCATATCACTCTATGAACAGTACAGGCATATTGGAGTTCCCTTCTGCCTTTCATGTTGAGTATATTATGTCGGTTCAGGTATGGAGTAACATATTGTTTTTTGGGAATTTCGAAGCTAAATCTTACACAGGCATTTTGGAGTCTTTGCACAGCTCTTTCTGTACTACTATTTATTCTTGGGCCATAAACGTTACTGCAGTAGTTAAATGCGGAGAGTACTAGCAGGTCTGTTAGATGCAACCGTAGATCCTCTTTGATATACGCTCTTATTTTATAAAGGGTCTTCAGCTTATAAAAGGCAGTTCTTATTTTTTGGTTAACATGCTCTGTAAACTTTTGTTCCCCATCCAGTATCAATCCTAGGTTTCTCGCTGCTCCAACCTGTTCAAGACAAACTCCGTCTATTTGCACTTTATTTCTGCTATCAAGTACTATTTGTATTTGTTTCTTAGTACCTAAAGCTAACACCTGAGACTTATTCGCATTTAGAACCAGCGAGTTCCTTTGCGACCAGTCGTAGATATTACTAATATCAGTATTAATTTTAGCTATGGCGTCGCTAATATCACTGCCTTTAAAGGAATAGTATAACTGTGTGTCATCGGCATAAAGGTGGTATTTGCAAAAATTTATATGTTTAGGGAGGTCTGCAGTAAATATGTTAAAGAGAGTGGGGCTTAAACGCGATCCCTGAGGAACTCCTTGTTGAAGAATCCCTGGCGAGGATAACCTTTTCTCACCGTTCTCTGATTCAGTTATAACAATTTGTTCCCTATTGAGTAGGAACGTTTTGAACCACGTGCAGGCATTCACGGAAAATCCATATAGTTCTAGTTTCTTAAGAAGCAGCTCCGGATGTAAACAATCAAATGCTCGAGAATAGTCGAGTAGGACCATTATAGTACTCAAACCCATATCTGAAGCCTCCGTTATATCGTCAGTCACATGGAGAAGTGCTGTTTCTGTGCCATGTCCCTTGCGGAAGCCAGATTGAAATTTAGGCACTATTTCCATCCTCTCCACATAACTTAGAACTTGTTTTAATACCACCTCCTCTATGACCTTGGAGAGCACCGGCAATATCGAAATCGGACGCAAATCTTTAAATTCTTCTATGCAGTTTCTTTTTGGTATGGGTTTTACTATAGCCCTTTTCCAGTCAGATGGGAATATGTTTGATTCTATTGATTGATTTATTATTGCGGTGATTATGGGTAGTGTACGATGTATCGTTAATTTTATCATTTCTATATTCAGGTCGTCATAGCCAGTTGCCTTTGTTTTAATTTTATTTATTATTTTTAAAACCTCTTCATCGGTAGTTGGTTCTAGATTGAAAACAGAATCTTTGTATTGACTGCTATCCAAACAATCTTGTCCCATAACAGTACCGCCACAAGAAGGAGTGTTTAAGAAGTGGGTATTTAATTTATCAGGGTCTCTCAGATGGTCAGGAATGAAATGTTTACACGAGTCAAGAGTGAGGCAGGTATTTTTAAGGTTTTTCCATAGAACTTTAGGCTTTTTTAAATTTCTATTTATAAATTGGTTAAAATAAGCCTTCTTTTCCCGTTCAATGGTTGCTGTGGCAAAATTTCTAAGACTGCGATAGTATTTCTTAGATGATTCGGTTTTATTTCTCAGTGCTTTTGCTAGCGCTTCATCTCTCAGCTTCATAATAAATTTGACCATATCGGTAATCCAAGGTTTTGGAGTCTCCCTGTGCACGATTTTCTTTTTGGGTGCATGCAAATCGAATAAGGCTAAAGTGAAATTATTGAAGACACTTACCATCTCATTTACACTGTCAAGGGAAAGAATATATTCCCATGGGATATCTTGCAAATCTGCTTGGAACCGATCCTGATCAATGTTATTGAGAATTCTTCGTTCACTTATTACCTTCAATGGTTTCGGTTTCTTTATGTCAAAATCTATTAACACCATAGCGTGATCACTCACTCCTGAGCTGTGTATAATTTGAGTAGTTTTACATCGTTCTGGAGTATCGGTCATAGCTATATCTAAAATTGTTTCTGTAAACTCAGTCACTCGTGTGGGTTCATTAACTAATTGTGTGAGGCCATGTTGTTGACAAAATGTAGAAAAATCATTAGCTCGTACAGAGTGAGATTTCATATCAATATTCAGATCCCCCATGATGCATGTGTAGTCGCATTGAGCTATAGAGGCGATGGATTCGCTGAGGGAGTCCAGTGCGTCAGCTACTCGAACACTTTCAGGTCTGTAAGCTGTGCCAATTACTAAAGAAGCTCCAACAAGTTTAATTTCAAGCCACATTTGCTCTAGCGATGAAATAGGGTGCTGACGCACCTTAGCAGCAACATTTTTTTTAACATAAAAACCAACACCACCTCCGGACTTACCTTGACGTGGTCTATGTAAAAATCTGTAACCCGGTATTGATGGTGCTAGACCACCTTCCCCGTCCCTCAGCCAGGTCTCGTTGATGGCTAGGATATCTGGTTCATAATTCAAAATAGTCACAGCAAATGCATCTTGTCCCGTATTAAGTGATCTAACATTCCACAACCCAAGTCTCAAACAGCGTTGCCTATTGTTAGTCATTGTATCGATATGAAAAATTTATTTATGAAATGAATATAATAGATATTGTATAAGAGTATGTAAAGCATGAGCTGTGCTGTGTGCGAACAAAGAGTGATAAGTACAATAGTATTTGTATTTTTAAAAGTACCACATTTAAATTTTATTAAATAAGCAAAATGAGCTATTGAGCTGTAACAATATATTAAGAAGCAACATATCTTCAGGTTAAGCAGTTTTTGCATGCACATAGACAAAAATGAAATGGCAGATAACATAAAAGGCAACATAAGCGTACGATTAAAGCAGGAGTAACATTTTTCGTTGTATTTTATGCAGGGATTGCAGGTCCGTGATAGTCATTTTCCATCTAGCGGCGCTGGTCCAAACACCCGAACTAAGTCCTCTTCGCTGCGAATCTGAAAAGCGGGTTTGCCGTCCCCCTGACGAACAAAAATGCGCCCCCGCTTAGTCCAGACGTATCGCCAATTCAGCCTGCGTCTCTCTTCCCGGACCTTGTGAAAGAGCTGGCGATTGGCACGCGTGAGGCGCTCGTTTATATAGACCGGAGAGCCTCTTTCCATAGTGGTGACCGGGATGCCATCCTCCACAGTGGCGACCGGGGCGCTGTCCTCCACAACTGTGACCCTGCGGCGTACACGTGCTGCCTTTAGGAGGTCGTCACGCAGCTGGCGGCGCGCCAGGCGCACCACGACGCGGCGCGGCCGACCCTGTGCCTCGGCAGGCGGCACACCCACACGTTCCGCAAACACCACGTCCCGTCTGTCCAGAGTCACCCCCAGCCTCACGGCCAGCGTGGTGACGCTCTGCTCCACGCTGACCCCCCTCTCTTCAGGCATCCCGCCGATCTCCAGGTCAGACATCAGTGCGTCTTGATCGCGGTCGTTCAACTCGGCTCTTAGCTGAGAAATAGTGTGCTCCAAAGCTGCAGTACTAGCGGGTTCTCCCTGGCGCTGCTCCAACACTATAATTCTCTGCTCGAATGAATCGAGTCGAGCAGTAAAAGAATTGCGGAAGGCCGTCATCTCTGAGCGAAACTCTTTCACCTCTTTCATACATTCAGCTAGCATGCACTTAATATCACTGGATGAATTATTATCGGCATTCTTCTGCGTATCCCGGACTTCGTCATCGTCTAGACAGCCTCCTACCAGATTAACTGGCCCTCGTGCGACAGCCGCAATTTCGCTATCTGCCGAAAATTCTCCAATGCCCTTGACCGGTGTGTGTGTGTTGTCACCTCTGCGTGTGCTTTTTTTGCAATTAGGGCATATCCAATCCTTGCTTACACGTGATTTCTCTGGGATTGCGAGGCAGCCCTTGTGATACCTCAGCGGACAAACACAGCAGACCACCGCGTTTGCTGGTGCTAATGTACTCCCACATGCACCACAATTGACCATTTTCAGCTCCAACAAAGTTAAATATATCTATATATATAATAATAATTTGAAGCACCAGTTACAATTATTACCCTAAAATAGTAACGGGCAATTGAAGGTGGCAACACTATGATCACGTCAAAATGCGTAGATCCAGCTGTCAATTGAAACTGACGGACTGCAATAGAAATTTTGAGGGTATTTTTAACAAAAACTTTGATAGGTCTTCGTTTTCTTTAAAAAGTGGGTAGAAAAAAGTACACTTATCTAGATTGGTTTTCTCGTTTCTAGCCTCGACAAAGTCCCGATAACAGTTTTGCAGCTTGATCCTAGGTTGAACTTTACTTTGCGATCACTTCTTGTGCAAAACAGTCACAAATTTTCAAACTTTTGAGAAAAATATGCGGAGCGACGAAAGTATCTTTAATACGGAGTTGCCATGTCCAAGTTGCTGTTTGCGTTTGCAAATGTTGCAGAGAGGTACGTATTACGGATTTTCCGCTCAAATAGAAGCGCCCGTCTGGGGAAGTCAACTCCACCTTAAGGAATAAATAAATAAAACTCATACCAATTAGCCTAGCCCCAAAGTATGCACTGTAAGCCTTGTGTTATGGGATATTAGGGTTACGGATAGAATACATATACAATGGTATCGATTCTGGCGTGATTCTCTAAACTTAAAACTATATTTAACATCAGTCTCCTTTTCATTCTGTATAGAGAATGACGAGGATACACTGTTGTCAAATTTAAGTTTAGCTTTAGAGAATCGACATCAGTATATGTAGAAATATATTTATATAGAAATACATATTAAACATCCATGACTGGAGTACAAATGCTCGTATTCATCACGCAAACAGCTGCCCCCACTAGGATTCGAACCCGAGACCTCTCGAGTAGGCGACACCATGAAACCCGGCGCACAAACCACTCGGCCACTCGTGAGAATAAATATAAACATTATTATTATTTTGTGTATGGAATTGTGTAGAAAAAAATACATCCTTATTTATAACGATTTGTATTTGTCCACAGCCACCATTTTATTTATGGAATAGTGTAGGAAAAAAAATAAGTCTTTAATTTAAATGACTTGTATTTGCCCACAGCCACAATGCGCCTCCTCCTGCCGGCCATTTTGTTGCTGTCCGCCATCTTGTCGTGTGCCGCGCAGGCGCAGTACCCGCGCCCGCGCCGCCCCGAGCGCTTCGACACCGCCGAGCAGATATCCAACTATTTGAAGGAGCTACAGGAATACTACTCTGTGCATGGCAGGGGGAGGTGAGAGCTGCTGTAACTCGAATATATTGTTTCAGCCTATCCATACTTCCATCCTTTCCTCATTCTTCCAAAGACCATTGACGATCTTTGGGGTGTATACCGGTTTCCAAGGTTTACAAACTCTGTCCTGGTAATGGAGTGCCACAATGCACTTCTATCCATTGCGGTAACCAACACGGTAACTCTGCAATGGATAAAAGGACACAGCAACTAAATTGGAAACGATGCAGCAGACGTACTGGCTAAGATAGGAACAGACACAAAAATGTATGGTCCGGAACCTCTTCTGCCCATACCTCAGGCCCAAATTAAAAAATGGCTGCGTGATACAACTCAAAAACTACACTTGACTGAGTGGAAAATAGGTGAAGGATGCTGGTAAACGAAAAACGCAGTTCCGGCGGCAAACAAGAGACATACCAGACTTAATAGGGACAAACTCCGTATAGTTATAGGATGCCTAACTGGTCATTGTCCTCTAAACAAACACCTTTACACAATAGGAGTAACAGACAGCCCCCTATGCAGAGGATGTCTGGAAGCGGAGGAAACGCCACAGCATATCGTTATGGAATGCGAGTGTGGCCGACCAATGGGCACGACTTCTCCAGTCGCCAGCATCGCTTCCGGAAGCTTGCAGCAGTCTGCCAAGGCTGCTTTCCTTCTGGACTAACTTAAGCTGGCTGTAGTAAACGGGAATGTTTCAAGACACGCACAATGGTCCAATGATTAGGACTAAGTGCGGAAACCGCCCTGAAAAACTAAACTACTAACCGGTTTCCAAGGTGTCACTTACTTTAGAGAGAGACGTTGATTAATTTATAATTAGACTAGCAACGAATATTCGGTTACTATTCGGTATTCGGCCTATTCGGCTGCTTCTATTATATTCGGCCGTATACCGAATATCCACTACATATTATTCGGCCGAATACCGAATACTTAAATAATATATTTTGTCATTAAGAAATAATTGAATAAAACTAGTTTTTACGGGTTAATGCACGAAACTTTATTTATTTATGACGTTTCGCAGCCTTTTCAGGTCTGCATCGTCAGAATATTCTGCAGCCTTTTCAGGTCTGCATCGTCAGAATATTCTGAAAAGGCTGCGAAACGTCATAAATAAATAAAGTTTCGTGCATTAACCCGTAAAAACTAGTTTTATTTAATGAGTGATGTGCGTGAAAACCTAAGAAACAAATAAGAAATAATTGGTAAAATGAAAAATTAAAATCGATTGATTACGTATATATTCATATTTTCATTTCTGTTATATAATCATTTAAGTAGTCATTGGTACATAACACAGGTAATAACACATAATCATGTTCTGAATTGGAAAAATGGAGGATTCTATATATTTGAATTATTGTGGTAATCAAAATTTAGAAGGGTAAGGTTCTCATTTCTTTTAATCATTTAAGTAGTCATTGGAACATAAAACAGTTTTTAATTCATTCAGTCGTGTGATGAATGGTTACATAATAGCAATAATTTAAAGTTTTCGCGAAGTTTTTGGCCATATCTCAAAAGTTGGTTTTGTCATTTTGCCGCATTTTAGCTTGAGGACGGCAGATTAGAACAAAACAAAGGAGCGCAAAACAATCACGTCTGTACAAGTTTTGGCGCTAAAATCCAGACGAATACTTTTGCCTAATATTCGGCTATTCGGTCAGGGGTCTCGCCAAATATTCGGTATACTGCCGAATATACTATTCGTTGCAAGTCTATTTATAGTACCTAGTTATAATATAAATTCATAATCATAGGATCTTACTAGGTGTTATAAACTAACTATTAATCATTATCATCATCAGCCTATGTATGTCCCCACTGTAGGGGCACAGGTCTTCCCTATGGATGGAATAGAGAGGCTGGGTCGTGACCCACAACGCGAGCCCAGTACGGATTGGTGGGTGCTCACGACTGCAGATACATCCGTGACCAACGGCTTAACGTGCATGCGAAGCACGGAGAAGCTTGAGATAATAAATTTTTGGTCACCCATCCAATCACCGACCAATGGAAAAGTTGAGTAATTTTCACGATTGCATGTTTGAAAGCGCTAATTGAAGCAGACTAACGATTTTATTCAATATGAGAAATGACCAGCTTTACAATAAAAAAAAATCTTCACATATCTATTATTATTTTTTTTATTTATTTATCAAATACAATTTTAAACTATTAACAATACTTTATAATTTCGCCAAACTGATTAAGAGTTTATTGGCGAAAAATGCACTCATTTTTAATCATAAATCAATTTAAAATTTACTTCAATAGCAATGCCTATATTTTTATCTAATTTAGTTTGGACTTAAATTAAACCATTCAGAAAAATTAGAAATTACTGCGTTGGGCGCCAAAGTAGCTGTCTACATTTTGTATTCAACCTTTCATTCATTTATATCAGAAATAAAAATATATTTATTATATAGCGTTGAACGACATCTTTACTGAATGATAAAGACTGTAGTCACTATTAACCGGTCACTACAAAATGCTCGAACAACACGATGACGTAAAGTTCAAGTACAGCGCAATAGATGGCGCTTTTTGGTTTTTTCACCTACAAGCTTGTTTGCTCTTCTTTCAAACGGGTTATGAAATATTTTTTGTACCAAATGTACTTAACGTGTGTTTGACTGGCTGATTGACATGGTTTTATCATTGTTTTTATATTTCTACAGTTTCGCTTTTCATTTACGAGTATTAAACATTTGAATGAAGTAATAGCAATTACAGCTATATTTTTATTATTTATGCATTTAACTGCTAGATGTTTTTCTCTAAAGAAAATTATACTAGAAAAAAATCCACGCGGACCATGCAGCATACGGGACTCGAACCCGCACCCTTCGCTATCCGAGCGAATGCACTGGCCATTATGCTACCGCGGCCCTGATGGCCGTGTCGAATTTTCTCTAATATTTCTTAAGCTGCAAGGCAGCGCCATCTCTTTGAATTGTAGGTAACCCACAATGTTAAATGAATACCTTTACAAGTATTAAACAATTGAAAGAAGAAATAGCAATTATAGTCATATTTTTATTATTAATGCATTTAACTGCTAGATGTTTCAAATCTTAAGAAAATTATACTAAAAAAAATCAAGCGTCTTCTAGTCTTTATTCTTTGCCACTTTTTCTAAACTAAACATAATTTAGATTAATATACCCCGTCGTCACCCCTTTTATTAGAACAGTACCCCTAGCACGAACCAATATCGAATTCGAATCGTTTGCGAGTCCGAAATTTCATTGTCAAATGTGTACTGATTTTTAGTTCTCGTTACGTACTTGTGCAGCTGCTGTTCAAGTTTCCATACAAAATTTGATATTGACATTTCGGTTTGCAAACTATTGGAATTCGATAATGGTTCCTGCTAGGGGTACATTAAACATTGCTTTACCAATATTTATTTGTTCACAGGTACGGCAAGAGGCAGATGCATATAGCTGATGCATCAGTTATTTTCCGGGAAACACCATTCATAGACCACACCATAAACGAAGAGGCACTCTTCAAAAACCTCGGATATAAGTAAAAAGAAAAAAAAATAAGAAAACACGAACTTTGAACGAAGAAAAAGTAACGGAAAATAGTCTCAACAATTTTCCCTCCAAACTACATATTATTTATATAAATAACTACATACTTACACTTACATAAAATATTTATTGAAGGCTCAAGTATTTTATAAAACTAGCATCTAACTAAAGAAATGACAGCTAAAATGGCGACAATGTGTCTATTGTGACTTCTTTACTATAATTGATTCTTTTTGTTTTCCTTAAATAAACCTTTTTTGACTTGAAACGAATTTAACACCAAGAAAAGTCCATCGCAATTATAAAAAGGCTATTCAATTCTTGACTTTTTCGAGTTAAATGGAGTTAACATCATGTTGATGGAGTTCACGAAAATACATTGATGAAATAATTCTTATAGTCTATATTTATCTTATACTTTATTTTTGAATCCAAATCTGGAAAAGATAAAATAAATGATGGAAAAAGATATGTTGAGTTCCAGATTTAATAAAAATAAATGGTAAAGGAATTTATTTGAAAAAAGAACTTGCTTCGCATAATATGGGCATGTAACTATCGTAGTTTGACGGTCTCATCTTCCGTCATATTATTTAGATAAAAGAATCTAACAGCCACATTCAATTATTGTTTTAATATAAAGAATATTTTCATCATCTATTTTTCGAAACAGAATTTTTAAAAGTTGTCCTTGACACTACGACACATTGCTGCTTAGTTATAATAAAACTTAATAATAAAAAAAAACATCCAAATAATAATAATAATATGAAAAATAATGTTACTAATATTCTAGTCAATTCTTTTCCCTTTTATCGTTTAGTTTTGGTTGTTACCAATATTCTAGTCAATTCTTTTCCCTTTTATCGTTTAGTTTTTGTTGTTACCAATATCCTAGTCAATTATTTTCCCTTTTGTCGTCTAGTGTTGGTTGTTACCAATATTCTATTCAATTCTTTTCCCTTTTATCGTTTAGTTTTGGTTGTTACCAAAATTCTAATCGATTCTTTTCCCTTTTATAGTTTAGTGTTGGTTGTTACCAATATCCTAGTCAATTCTTTTCCCCTTTATCGTTTATTTTTGGTTGATACCAATATTCTAGTCAATTCTTTTATCGTTTAGTATCCCTTATAGTTTTTAGGCTGGGTAAAAACTATGTACAAAGGGATGACGTCATGTTATTTAAGTTTAAATTAATAAAGAATACTGTAGAAATTAAATCATTTCATTGATTAAAGCTGATTTATTGGAATGGGTTGTTTAATTGGTGTACCTTTGTCCATTAGAACATGTAGCAATAGAAGGAAGAAATGTGAGCCGTCACGGGACGCCTGGCAGATGTGAAACATCGACATTATTTTGTAAAAGTAATATGCAGAAAAGAACAGATTGCGATAAGAACTAAATGATATGGTAAGGTTTCGTATTAGCAACTGCCCTGGCAATGTATAAATACTGTACTTAGTAATATTGAATAGTAAATCGTTAGCACCCGCCAATCCGCACTGGGCCCGCGTGGTGGGTCATGGCCCAATCTCCCTATTCCATCCATAGGGAAGGCCTGTGCCCCAGCAGTGGGGACATAAAAGAGGCTGATGATGATGATGATGATTGACAATTAATTCATTTCAATTCTGAAATTCAATGAAAGTCTTATCAGTCTACGTAGGCGACTTTTTGTCAATTCGGGCTTGGCCACTTTTAGTCGTTGTAAGCGACTACTTTATCTGTTAGACTTTGCAGAAACTTATACTATAAAAAAGCATCTCGGTACGCACGACAGAAGTCAGAGACGCCCTCTTGTTGAGCCGAACCCCTCAGGTTCGAGTGGTATAGAGGCTCCAGACGGAGAAAAGACTTCCCCCGTGGGTAGATGCCATCCACCAGTCATACCTCTAGAGGCACTCGCTAATTCTCGGCTTGAGGTCCCCTTAGGATCCCGCCTGTGACGCTGTTAAGGTTATCTGCGAACAACAGCATATACACTCAAAAAAAACGACAGAAGTGATAACTTAAACTACTCTAAGCGGCGCTACGGGTTAGACTGATAGGCCTTCCTATCGCTGTTGTATGCGTGAGAGGAAGGGAAGCCGGTCCGGCTGGTGCCGTAACGCGTTACGTAACGAAGTGGTTTACCCTCCCATAAGAAGTTATCCAATAAATAAAAACCGACTTCATAAAAAAAACACTAAAAAATCATCATCATCGGCTGATGATTATTATGTCTCCACTGCTGAGTCACAGGCCTTCCCTATGGATGGAATAGGGAGATTGGGCCATGACCCACCACGCGGGCCCAGTGCGGATTGGTGGGTGCTAACGACTGCAGATGCAGCCGGGACCAACGGTTTAGCGTGCCTTCCGAAGCACGGAGGAGCTCGAGTATATTTTGTTCACCCATCCAATGACCGACCACTGCGAAAGTTGCTTAAGTTCAATGATCGCAGCCGAACGCGCTAACCACTTGCGCCATCGAGCTCCTCAAAACATACTAAAAATTAAAAAAAAAAAACTTTTTACTTACCTAAGTCTAAAGTAATTTAAAGTCGAATTAATATTTGGTCCGGAAAAGGTCGATCCTAATAGTAAATAGAAACTCAGCGTTATCAGACATCCATGGCATCGAACCTTATTACCAATTTTACTATTAACTAGTGGCCCGCCCTCGCTTCGCTTCGGTGTAGAGCTGAAGTGTAGACTACAGTTTTTGTTCTCAGGCTTGTATTATACACAATGACATTCATCTATGATTCTTCTTATACCTGCATGGAAAGTCTCAGCCCGATCGGTTTAAAATTTCATACAAACTTTCATTCCCTATTTTATCCTCTTGGGGGTGGAATTGATCAAAATCCTTTCTGAGCGGATGCCTACGTCATAACATCTACCTGCATGCCAAATTACAGCCCGATCCGTCCAGTGGTTTGGGCTGTGCGTTGATAGATCACTATGGCAGTCAGTCACCTTTGAGTTTTATATATATAGATATTTGTTACGTCACCGTAAACTGACGATATGAGATGTTGTTGGGATTGCACTATACAACATGATTCAGGCGTCAGAATAAGTTTTCCTTGGTGTAGCAGTGGATAGGTACCTTTTTAGAATAGAATAGAATAATCTTTATTCGCATTAAATAGGGTTGACAAAAGGTGTTTGCATATAAAGCATATGTTAAAAGCTAAGAATCTTAAACCTATTTAGCCATATTAATAGCATGCAAAAAATTCTAATATATTAAAACATAACAGTCATATTAAATTTACTAATAATTCATTTAATAACAAGTATTTTATCATTTAAATTCAAATTTATGTCAATATTAATTACAATTCTCAATGTCAGTTCAAAATAAAAATATTTTATGTCAATTTAGTGTGATATACCTATAATAACAAAATTTTTCAGTATGACAATTTAAGATTATTATACAATTCAATGTAAATATTAATTTGATTCCTGATGTCAATTAAAAAGTAATATTCATGTCAATATATTATATGCATTTAAAATAAAATTAATCCAAAATCGACATTCATTTCAATATTCAGGACTTATTTTTTAAAAATTCCTCTACAGAATAAAAGCTTTTATCCAATAGCCAATTTTTTAATACTATTCTGAACCTGTTGTAGGGTAGTTGCTTAATATTGTCAGGTACTTTATTATATATTTTTATAGCCATTGCATAACCATTTTTATTGAAACGCGAAGTTTTGGGATTGTTACTCAATACAAGTTTGTTCAAATTTCTAAAATTTCTGCTTGTATTATCTTTTAGTTGCTGGTATAGGTGGCTGTTTTGTTTAACAAATTTTCCCATTTCTAATACGTATAAGCAGGGCAGTGTTAATATGTTTAATGCTTTGAAGTACGGTCTGCAAGAAACATCCGGTGCAATGTTACAAATGGCTCGAATACATTTCTTTTGGGCAATGAATACTTTATTTATATCCGTACCATTTCCCCATGTTATGAGTCCATATCTAAGGCAAGATTCCACATAAGCTAAATATGCTAAAACTGCTGTTTTTCTGTCTGTAATTCTTGCAAGATTATATAAAGCATATGCAAAACTATTTATTTTTACAAATACATTTTCTATTTGGTCTCTCCAATTAAGCCTGCTATCTATAAATAGATCCAAAAACTTACCTTTTGTAGCCCATTTAATTAGTTCTCCGTTAAAGTTAATATTCGTCAAAGAGTTTTTAAAATTATTAAAATTAATTATATTGGTTTTGTTAATATTAATTTGAAGATTATTGTCATTTAGCCAATCTATTATGGATGTCAAAGTATCAATAATGTCATTTCGATGTTGTTCCATTGTGCTATCTTTATTAGTAGAGACTAAAACTGAGATATCATCAGCAAATAAAGTAAATTTATTGTTTGAACAATTTGTAATGTCATTTATATAAATCAGAAATAGCAATGGACCGAGTATACTCCCCTGTGGGACGCCAGTATCATTTTTTTCAAGACTGGATCTGTAGGTTTGTATCGTATGTTTTTTACCTATTTGTTCTATTTCAACAAATTGAACTCTGTTCTCTAAGTACGATTTTAACCAGTCATAGGCAGGACCTCTTATTCCGATCAACTGTAGTTTATCGAGTAGTTTTTTGTGTGACACCCGATCAAATGCTTTAGACATGTCAATGAAGGCGACTGAGGTGTATTTATTCTCATTAACATTTTGTAGAATATTATTTACTAAATTATACACCGCTTGTGTTGTAGATTTAAGTTTTTGAAAACCATACTGACTTTCACTTATAACATTAAATTTATTAAAAAATGACGAAAGTTGATTATTACTCTCTCAAATATTTTCGAAAAAATTGAAATCAAGGTAATTGGTCTATAATTATCAACATTAGTAGTGTCACCTTTTTTGTACAAAGGTTTGACAACAGACATTTTTAATCTTTCTGGAAAGGTGCCGGTTTCCAGTGATAAATTTACTAAATGAGTTAGTATTGGAATTATTTCGGTCTTGCATAATTTTATTATTTTGGTACTTATTGAGTCAAATCCTTCTGATGGAGTGTTATTTAATGTCATTATTATCTTATTTATTTCGTTTTCAGTCACAGGGGTCAAAAAGATTGAATGATAGAAATTATTGCCTTTACAAGTGTTTATAGAGTTATTGATAGTTGTTTTATTTATGTCAATGAAATGGTTATTAAATGTCGAAGCTATGTCTATGGGTGATTGTATGTCCTTTCCGTTGATTACTATTTTATTAATATATTTTTTTGTTTCTATATTGTTGGTTTCTTTTTTTATAATTGTCCATGTAGCTTTACCTATATTTTTGCTATTTGTAATATAAGTTTTATTGGTTATTTTTTTTGATTGATAAACACATTTTTTCAGTAACTTGTTATATTTTAGAAATTCACCAATCCTTAATAATATATCAGAAAATTCACGATCATCCGGTTTATCTCCAGTTCTCACTCGCATGTTTATAGTCAAATGCACCGATTGTATATCACGCCACAAATAAGAGCTTTTCAGGCAAGCCCTAACCCCATCAGCTCGGGTTCCCCGTGGTATTACCGGTAAGGTTTGTCGGAAATCACCACAAAATAAAACTGTGATACCGCCCATTGGTCGATCATTTTGTCTTATCCGTTACACAAAAATAAATCCTTATAGCATGATTCAGTATTCACGTGCGACGCGCGATAGCTTATTTCATGTATAAGTTTGGTGTTTCTATACAGATTTCTATGATTCTTTTTTTATTGAATAGGTAATAATGTTAACTTTTTTAAATTAGGGATGAGTGAGAGTATTATAAACGTAAGAGTAAACAAATATAATCAGAATGCTCCGAACTGCTAAGCTATCAGGAGTTACACGTGTTATTGTAAGTCAACCATAAAAGATAGACATTTGCTGTTGCAGGATATTTTTTAGAAAATTTTATGTAGAATATTTCCGTGATACATAATTTCTATGCACGCGACGGAAGCTTAAAAAATGGAATAACTTCTCCCGTTTTCCCAACATTTCCCTTCGTTACTCTGCTCCTATTGAATGTAGCGTGATGAAAAGTATACTATAACCTGCCCAGGAGTATGAAGAATAATTGTACCAAGTTTCGTTAAAATCCGTCGAGTCGTTTTTGTTTCTATAAGGAACATACACACAGACAGACAGACAGACAAAAATTTTACTGATTGCATTTTTGGCATCAGTATTGATCACTAATCACCCCCTGATAGTTATTTTGAAAATATATTTCATGTA